GAGGGAGGAGGGAGGGGAGGGAGGGAGGGGAGGGAAGGAAGGAGAGAGAGGGAGAGAGAGAGAGAGAGAGAGAGAGAGAGAGAGAGAGAGAGAGAGAGAGAGAGAGAGAGAGAGAGAGAGAGAGAGAGAGAGAGAGAGAGAAGATTAAAAGTAGAGACAAAAGAAAAAAGAACCGAGAACCAACAAGAAAGACTAAAAAAAAAAACTATAAAATAAAAATAAAAGCCAAAGGGTAATTAAAATAGAAAACCGTTGTAACAGAAATCAACGACTTTCCTTTCCCGCCATTGCCGCCTGAGTTTCGCGGTGAAAATAAATTCCGAGGCTAAACTGCTTCACAGAATACCACAGGCGTGACTGGACCAGCAACCCACTTTCAACCTAAGTCATCATCACCAAAACAACCCCGCGAGAAAAGAAAAGTGAAAAAAATGTGAGAAAAAAAGAGAGAAAAGTCTCCGTATTTATACAAATTATGGCGCCTGAAGGAGGGACTGAACTTTTTGGCGGGAAAGTTTTTGCTCCCAGCGGTTAGCTTTCTTATTCTTTCTATTTTATTTATAGTTAATTATTATTACGTTTTTGCTTCTGTTATTTCTAATTAGCATATCGCATCCGTTGTGTTATTTTTATTTATTTTTTAACATTTTTTCTTTTAACAGTTGGTATTGTTTTTAAGTACTATTTTTTTGTTCATACCTATAAAGGAATATATGCACACGCACGCGCGCGCGCGACACACCCACACCTTACCTTACTCCTCTCGCAACTCATCTTCCCTCCTCATTCGTCAACTTTACACGCGTGTGCGTGTGTGTATGTGTACGTGTGTGTGTACGTGTGTGTGTACGTGTGTGTGTGTGTGTGTGTGTGGTGTGTGTGTGTGTGTGTGTGTGTGTGTGTGTGTGTGTGTGTGTGTGTGTGTGTGTTGTGTGTGTGTGTGTGAGGAGAGAGAGAGAGAGAGAGAGAGAGAGAGAGAGAGAGAGAGAGAGAGAGAGAGAGAGAGAGAGAGAGAGAGAGAGAGAGAGAGAGAGAGAGAGAGGAAGAGAAGATTTAAAAAAAAGAAAGTCCCGCCCTGTTTAGCACGACATCACAACCATATAAATCGTCACACATGCTTCCAGTGCGTCTGCTGTTGCCTATCGTGACGTCAATGACATGCTCTGCTACGTCACGGCATTATTTTTGAATTTGATATCGGTTGATGTCAGGCAGAAGATCGTCATGTGTAACTTTTTTTATTATTATTATTATTATTTTTAGAAACACGAGAAATATGTAAATGCATGATTTTTGTGGTAATTATAGCGATGACAATAATTTTGGTTGTGCGGCGGTATTGGTGATGATAATATTTATGATGACGATAATCATAATACAACGAATAATAAATTTTAATTATAATAATTATCTACCTATTATTATGGAAGAAATTGGTTGCAAAGGACTCCTAAAAGAATAAACACACGAAATTCGACACAGACGGTGGGAAAGAAAATATCCCAACGTATAATTCCAACATTAAGATAAATAACCATTTTCTCCACTGCAATTAAAACTTTCTAAAAGTCCGTCACGAAAGAAAAAAGAAAAAAAAACATCTCCAACCCAAAAATTATATATAGCAATTAGTGCATGCTGGACACCTATCAAAACATGAATAAAATAAGCGCATTTACATAAGCGTTCGTATAAGTGTCAACACGTTACACGAACGCTGAGACAAGGAGGAGAGGAGAACGGAGGGAGGAGTTGCCCGGATGTCGGTCAGTGTGTTGGTCCGCAGATTTCTCCTCCGCTCAGTCACGGTCCTCATGCTTGTTTTAGTGTCTTTCATTTTACCTTTTTTTTCGTGGGAGGAGTGTGGGGGGGTAGGGGGGATGGCGAATTCTGTTGTGCTGAGCTAAATGTTTCATTTCTCTTCGCTAAGGTTAATGAATGCTTGTTCTTTCTTTCTTTCTTTCTCTCTTTCTCTCTCTCTCTCTCTCTCTCTCTCTCTCTCTCTCTCTCTCTCTCTCTCTCTCTCTCTCTCTCTCTCTCTCTCTCTCTCTCTATCTCTCTCTCTCTCTCTCTCTCTTTACGCGTTGATTTATTTTTTCTTGTGTTGTATATTATTCCATTTACTCACTGTAACTACTGCTATAAGCGCTTTCATTATGCCACCATCAATATTATTAGTAATCATTACACCATCTTGATTCTCAGTTTCATTCTCTCTGTTCAATTGCAAAAACTAATTTTAAAAGTTAATATAATTCTTTTGGTTTATTTTTTCTCCACTGATTAGACCTTTCTGTGTTCGACCTACTTTCCTTGCATTTGTTTTGTTTTTTTTTTTGTCTTGATTTATTCATGCTTTTCCTGGTCTATTTCCTATCGCCCCTTCCCCTTCCTCCCTCCCTCCCCCCTCTCTCTCTTTCTTTCCGCTATGCTTCTCGGCTTCTCTCTCTCTCTCTCTCTCTCTCTCTCTCTCTCTCTCTCTCTCTCTCTCTCTCTCTCTCTCTCTCTCTCTCTCTCTCTCTCTCTCTCTCTCTCTCTCTCTCTCTCTCTCTCTCCTCTCTCTCCTCTCTCTCTCTCTCTCTCCTCTCTCTCTCTACATCTACTCTCACCTTTTTTACCTTTTATTTTCAATATCCTGTTACATGTATCCTTTCTTTTTACTGCTGCCATTAAGCCGTAGAAGCTATTGAAAACTACAACGAAACGTGACTCTAGTAATAGACGTTCATATTTACATTAATTAATATGCATATTAACTGCTGTTAGAAAATGATAATTATGTTAATAGAGGATTGTGTGTATGTATGTTTGCCCTGTTAGCATTATTGATAATAAGGAGCAAAACGGCAACATGGTAACAACAACTGTAATCACGATAAGATAAATAAAATGAAGGAGGAGAATGGTAATAGTGAATGTGATGATGATGTGATTGTTGATTGATGATGATATATAATGATAATAATGATAATGACATGATAATGGATGATGAGATGATGATGATGATGATGATGATGATGATGATGATGATGATGATGATGATGATAATAATAATAATGAAAATAACTACAAAAACACAACAAGAACATCAACGATAATCATAACAAATACCTACGAGCACAACAACCACAAATAAAACAAATACCTACGAGCACAACAACCACAAATAAAACAAATACCCACAATAACGACCACAAAATCGAAGAAAAAAAGCTACGCACTTTCTCGAACGGAAGAATGAAGACAGGCCCAGCGCCCCCCCCCCCCCCGCGAAATCCGAAAGAACAGCTTTTCCTGCAGCGTCACTCCCGGTCAACAGCTGAGAAGGAATTACAGGGCAACAGCTGAAGATTACCGGGCGGGTGTTTCGGTGTGACGTGCGCGTGCTGTGGTGTGTGGGGGAAGGGGTAGTGGTGTGGGTGGTTGGGGGGCGTGTGTAGGTGTGTGTTTGCGTGCGTGCGTGCGTGCATGGGTGCTGGGTGTGGGTGTGTGCGTGCCTGTGTGCGTGAGGGTGTGTGTTTGTATGGTATGTGTGTGAGCGGGTATGTGTGGGTGTGGGGTGACTAATAGCGCTGGGTATGGATAAGTTTGGTGGGGGCGGATGTTTTGGGGAAGTGATTGGAATATTTGAACCCAACCGTGTTTGGCAAAATGAAAATGACAGGACGATTTAAATAGCACAGGTTCGAATGAGTTGAATGATGGATGATGATGATGATGATGATAATGACGAATGGGATGATAAAGAAAGTGTATAATGACGATAATGGATAATAATAAACAATAATAATAATAACAATAGTAATAAAATTCACAAT